TACATGTGAAGAGGATCAAGACACCCTGAAGATATAGACATAACCCTCCACCCTGACTCCAGTTCTTGCTTTGGTGACTTTTGGTGATGGGAATGACTACTGTCCTGAAAGAAAGGGGTCTCAGGAATCTGCAGGGGCAACTCCTGGGCATTAAAGATACGTTCTGTGGCTTCGAAAACTTGGCATCCTTCAGTGATCGCCATTTTTCAGGGATGGGCTGCATGAGCTGAATGTTTGTTTTTCCCCAGAATTCATAGACTGAGACCTCATCCCCTGAGTCATGGATTTTTGAAGATGGGGCAGGGTGTTTGGGAGGGTATTAGGCCATGAGGTCAGGGACCTGAGGAGTGGGATTAGTATCCTTATAGAAGTGGTCCCAGAGGGCTTTTTCACCTCTTCTGCTGTGCAAGAAGACACCATCCATGGACCAGAAAGGAGCCCTCAACACACACTGAATCTGTCTGTCTCCTTAGCTTGTGGATGTCGTCTTCTCCCTGAGTCTCTTCATGCCTCTACATGTCTCTGTACTAATCTTCTCTTGTAAGGACACCAGTTATACTGGATTAGGGCCCACTTTAGTGACCTCATTTTAATTAAATTACCTCCATAAAGGCACTCTCTTCAAATACAGTCATTCTGAGGTGCTGGAGGTTAAGGCTCTAATGTATGAATGCAGGGCACAGTTCAGACCCTAAGGCCTCTAAAATGAATTGTCTTCCATTATTATTGCCATGAAGAAAGTTGATTGGGGAAGGGAACTGAGGCTGATTGCCATTTGTGAGGTGAATAAGTGTGTGTGTGTGTGCTGGGACAGGTCCTGGAGCACTTATTGATGCTCCATTGAGGGTTGACATTGGAGGGTACTGGTTGGCTAAGGACCATTGCCTGCTGGCTCTGTCTTCTGGAGCTAGGCTTTCCTGTGGGAGACAATTGAGGAGCCACCGTCCCTTCCTTCTGCCCATCCTTTGAGAATGCCCCACACCTCATCTCCTAGTTTCTCCCTTTAAAGGTACGTCTTCCTCCAGGGCTTCAGGCCCCCTCCTGTGTTTCCAGATGTGGGCATTGGAGGTGTGCTGAGCAAGTTGAATTGAATCTCCAGTAGCCCAAACAGAAATGGGATTACAGACTAGGCCAGCTGGCCTTTGGTAAACAGGTGACATGATGGCAGCTTGACCCCATCGGGATAGAGACCAAAACCAAGGGATGTGTTTTTCCTGGAGAGTTCTGCCTGTCCTTCCCATGTGCTTCATCCTGTTCTGTTGCCGGAGCTGAGCTTTCGGGGACCAGGGTGGGAACTCTGGGCCACAGGCTCAGGCCTTTGGGGTGCTTCCCTGCAGCTGAAGAGCAAGTGGGACGAGTTCATCTTCACTAAAGGCTGCATCCAGGCGCTGGAGGGCTGGCTTCCGAGGAACATTTACATCGTGGCTGGTGTTTTTATCGCCATCTCTCTGCTACAGGTGCGTTCCAGGGGCCTGCAGATGGGTGGGGGGTCCTTTTTTCATTTGAGGAAGTTAATGGGGGGCCATTAACAGAGAATGCTTGTCCAGCTTGTGTATGGTGTGAAGGAACCTGACAGAAGAAATTAGATGTTTAAAGCTGAGTGTGTGGGGCGGGGAGGGAGAGGGACAGAGAGAGAGAGAGAGTGTGTGTGTGTGTGTGTGTGAATGAGTGTGTGTGTGTGTGTGTGTAATGTATGTGTGTGTTGTGTGGGCTAGACCCAGGACAGACTGATTCCTGTCTCCCTGTGGTCTACTACCTAAAGGAAGCCTCTTGTCATGACAATGTAAGAGGTACTGTACAGAATGGCAGTGTAGTGAGGCCCTAGTAGACTGTATAAGGGTATCTGGTTGGGACTGGAATATATTCTGGGAGGGTCACCTGCTATGAGAGTCTTCTCTGCTGCAAGTGGATGCACATGGCAGGATTTAAGATGTCAGAGCTGCATAATGGAAGGTGATACTGTTGATCACCTGGGGCTTGAAGAAGGACTGCGGCTCAGGTCAATGTAGTCACCTAAGGATCTCTTCCTCCCTGTCCCTAGCACCTGGGCACCCAGGCCTCTTCCTGTACACATGAGCCCCTCTTGGCTCCTGCCCTTTGTGGATGCTTGTTCACCTGAACAGGTGGAAGGGTGTTGGTGGTGAGGGGGCAACAGGGCCTGGGGTGAGTGGACCCGCCAGTATCTCCTAGAAGGGAAGTCAGTAATTGAGTGGTCTCAGAGGAATGAACATTTCTAGTGCTGCACAGAGCTCGTGAGGAGATGCTGGCAGTCTCTGAGCAGCTTCTGGGAGAGTGGGTGGTGTGCATGTGAACACACCAACCCTGCCTTGAAGAGGATGACTGCGGTGGGTCCAGCCACTTGTACGTACCTTTCTCCTTCACTCAGCAGTGTGTACTTAGTGACTGCAGAGAAAGACAGAGAAGCATGTAGACAAGGAAAGAAATAACCTTGCAAAGCAGGCAGGGGAGTCAATTACGAACCACAGTCAGAACTTAAAAGGGGAAATAAAAATCAAGAGCACTCCTGAAGGTTACCAAGTTCACTTTGGTCTGTTCATGTAGGAAAACTTCAGCTGAGCCTCATGATTGCCCAGTTCTCCAAGGACAGGACGTGTTGACATCAGCACAGCCAGCGTCATTAATTACCTTGATTTTATGATGGAATCCAGGTTTATAGGAAACATTTGAGATTTGTTATTTTGGGGATCAACATGATAGAGTGGCCTTGTTAATTTTGGTTTCGATCTGGGTACATGTGTCCTGCCTGTGGAATGTGCTGTGCTCACTTGTGTTAGAGGCAGGACCAAGTGTCTTTTTTTAGTCCGTGGTTCCTGCTTGTTCTTGCCTCTTCTGGGCTCAAGAGACACAGCAGACTGCACTTTCTACCTGTGGGTCAGTTGAACTTTGCCCCTTGCCTGAGCGTTTTTCCCAGTGTGTCCCTACCCTGGCAGAGTGGACCAAGGGAGCAGTGTGCAGTGGGGTGTCCACCGGTCTGCTCTCTGCTCCCCGCCCTCCTCCTTTGGTTGCTAATGCTGAAGGCCACTGACTGCTGGCTTTGGTTTCAGATATTTGGCATCTTCCTGGCAAGGACCCTGATCTCAGACATCGAGGCGGTGAAGGCCGGCCATTACTTCTGAGGAGCAGAGGCGAGCAAATGCAGCTGAGCCACATTGTGGAGGCCAGAACCCTTCACTGTCATCAACCTTATATCCAGTGGGAGAGAAGCTGGCTCAGCCACCCGGAGCCAGCACCCTTTCTTTGGCATCAGTGTGATATGAACTCTATTTCTCCTTGCTGGTGCTGAAGACCCAGGGCTCCTTTTTACCTGCAAGACTTGAGCCTGCATCCCTGCTGGGACTTCCTAGAGGCAGAAGTGTCTCTACATGGGGCAGTGGCCCCGAGGGACAGACTGGGCTTCTGTGGCTGTAAGGAGTGCCTGTCTTGGCCCTCTTGGAGACCGAGAGCCTCTGCAGACACCTGCTCCTCACTGCAGGCTTTGGGTCATGGGCGCTAGCCTGATGGACAGCCACATCTTAGGGTGGGACATGGGTAAAGGGACAGCAGGTGAGCACAGAGCTTCTCTCTCCACCAAGTCCAGCAGTGCAGTGGCCTGCTCCTAGCTGGGGAAGGGGAGGGGCTCAAGTGGATCTGTGCATGCTAGCGGGATCATGGTGGGTTAGGGTCATTTGCAGGACCCTCAGCCATGTCCAAGTGAAGTAAGCCTGAGCCAGGGCATGACTGGTGCCTCGAAATGCCTCGGCGGCTACCCGCCAAGCCCCACTGCCATTTTCCAGGATGGGAACTGCCTCTGGTTTCAACAGCATTAAGCCCTGGTTGCTGGGGAAGCGGGGGTGGCCTGTTCCCCACTGAGAGCCGGCTCTCGTTTTCTTAAAGTGTGTAAATAGTTTATTTATAGGGGTAAGAATGTTTTCACACCATGTCTTCATTTCCTCTTCCTTTCCTCCGGCATTCTCCTCTCAGCAGCCTTACACAGTGTCTGGAACTAAAAGCTGTCCCTTTCAGTTCCCCTGAGTGTCTCCAGAACCAACCACAGCAGCCTGTCCTTTTCATCTACTGTGTTCCTGCATTCCTCTTCCTCCATACACTGCCCCCGAGACACACCCCACCTCCCCAGCTTGGCCTCACTGTCTTCCAGTCTTGGTGCTACTAAAGCTGTCACCCGAACTTGAATCCTGCCCCTCCTTCCCCATGGCCTGCCCAGGGAGCCCCAGCCCCCCACATAGGCAGCCAAAAACCTTTTGGGCAGAACTTCTGGTCGAAGCTATACGCCAAAGGCTGGCTGGCCTGACATCTGTCCCTGGAGAGAGCTGCTGTCCTGCAGCCAGGCCTGTGCTGAGCTGTGCACCCCAGGCCACAGCTGCTTAGAATCTTGGGACATTGTATTTCTCACTTTCATGGTGATTCCCCACCAGGATATGTGTGGTCACTGTGCCCACCCTTCCTGTTGGAGCTCTTCTGGAGCTTGCTCTTGGCAATGAAGTTTATTGTATGTGCTGAAAAACCCTTGGAGTAGTTGGGGCATTGTCCATCTTTGACATTGTCCATCTTTGGGCTACTTTCTAATGCTTCCCTGTAGCTTGTACCAGTTCTGTCCTTACTGTTCAGGGATCGAGAGCTACCTTCATTCACTTGCAGAAGTGTACATTCTAGTGTGGTGTATACTGGTTATGCTGGTGGGTGTTTGTTGATGATGATGATGATGATGATGATGATGATGATGATGATATTTTTGTTTTGTTTTTTTACCATTTTCTGTAGACTAGAGGAAGAATGCTTGTGTTTTTAGAAAGTGTGTTGCTTCTCTTTGACTGCCAAACTCTTTTATGGAATATATCTTTATATTAATGCTGCTGTTTTGGTTGTTTTTATTTGGGGTCACTACCAAAATGGTTTTAAATACACAGTATAAATTTGGCTGCAGGGGGATCCAGCAGGATCAAGTATAACTAGAGGTATAGAAGTGCAGATTGGCACGTTCCAACATGGATTTCAGTTATCCTTCGAACAAGGCTACAACTGGAACTGGTTGACTTGTGGTGTAGCCACACCTGTGTGTAGGTAGGAGAGGAAGAACTTTAACCCTCAGGCCCACAGGAAACATTACATTAGGTGATTCCTTTCCAAACCCTGACAATACTGTTTACCCAAGCAAAAAAAGCTTGGGAACTGTGGGTTAGTATCTGGGCATTGCTGCTATGTGGACCACGTATCCTGGACTTGTTGGCCTCTCTGTCATTGGGGGAGGTGGGAGGGTGTCAGGGGCTGTGTCTACCTCAGGGAGCCTTCTACCCAATCTCCCTGCCAGTGTGTTGGTGGCCATAGACCCTGCTTGCCAGAGTGTTGGTTCCAAGGGCTTCAGACAGCTCCTGCTGTCCCATCTATTCATGTAGTCCTATTGCCTGGACCCCTTGGAATTCTCCTAGGTACCACACTCCAATTCAGGAGGAATTCTAGCCATGTCTTCCAGAATTTTATTTCTCAATTAGTTCATAAAATGTTCAGGCCATCTCGTTTAACTCTTGAGTCGTTGGTTGAAGAAAGAAAACAAATCAAGGATTGATTAGGGAGCCCCTGACTTGAAGCTCAGACACCCTACCTTGGCCTGCCCTGTACCCTCACCTTCCCTGTTCTCTCAGAACAATGTGCCACCTCTGCACTCTCCTTAAAGCTTTGTCCTCCTTAGAGCTCACTTTTTTAACTTTTAACTTTTTTTTTTTTTTTTTTTGGCAAGCACTCCACCACTGAGCCACACCTCCAGTTCTGCCACTCACTTCAAAGTCTCCAGGTTTCTCCTGTCCTTCCTGTGACCCTCCTCCTACCTCCTCTCAGGATTCCGCCCTGCTTTTTCCCTACCCCTCTTCCTGTTGCTGCCTTTTCTCCTCCTCCTACAGACTTGCTGAGGCCCCATTGCTTTCCTTTCCCACTTTCCTTCCCTGGCAGCTTCTTCCCTGGCCACTCTCTGCCCTTCTCATCCCCACCAGTACTCTCCTTTTGGCTGGTTGTCAAACCAGGACAACCGACTCTTCAAAAGCCTCTGCTTCTGAGGTCCAGGTGTGCTACTTCTAACCCTCTTCCATCTGTCCCTCTCAGGCCTCAGCTGTGTCTGCCCCACCCTCCTCATTGGTCTCCAGGACCTTCCCATTGCTCACAGGTTAGGGCCCTGGGTCAGGCAGGAAAAGCATCTGCATTGCTTCCCAAGCCCAGGCACTCAGTGTCCCCACACGAATAACAATAAAAATTAATGGACATTGTACAGTATGTTTCAGCAACACAGGAAATACTCAGAGTACTTAAGAATTAATAAATCATTCAACCACCAGAACAGGTCTGTGGAAGCCATTTTCATGCATAAAACATGCACCTCAGAGGAAGGTAAGTTACCTCCAAGGATTGGGAAAGGCCTGGTTTAACTCTGGGAGCCTATCCCTAGAACCTCACCTTGCAGCTAAAGCAGGAGGCCAGGAGGTGACCTGCCAGCTCTGAATTTCAGATCTAAGATCCTCCAGGTCACTGGGCTCAGGATCTATAAGCATTTGGGAAAAGTGGGGAAATGGTGACCTCCCCTCTGTACCTGGACTTGAGTGCCCAGTTTGATTTTGGGGCCTGTGGGAAAGCAGGGCATTGCTTCTAAGCACAGCCCCATGCTGGGCTATAGGCCTTGGTGTCACACAGTAGGCTCAGTTTGCTGCAAGGCTCAAGCTGTGCTGTGTTGTCCACAAACCGACTGCTCCCTGGCTCTGTGTGAGTTGCTTATCTTAAAGCCAAGTTGCTGGGGATGGGGTGGGGACAAAGCTTCCCCTCACTCAACAAGCTTATGGAGGCTGGCATTGTGGGGTCAGACGCAGCCTTCTCTCAAGGAAGTGCTGAGCAGAAGCCACAGAGGGAGGGCCTCTGTCGAGCAGGAGGGTCCACATGATGACTTCCTGGCCAGCAACCTCAGAAGCATGGTATGCAGAGAATGGGGAGAGCTATCTCAATGGCCCAGCACCTGGGGTTCCCGCTGTCATGGGAAAGTCCCTACCCAGATGTCAGTTGTGTCAGCACTGGCCCCCACTAGCTGAAAACCCTCAGGTCCACAAGGTGAGAAGGGAGGAGGAACAGTACTTCATGTGGGCCTTTGCTCCAGTGTCAGTGTGTTTGTGTCTCCAGGACTACAAAGTTTTAGCTCATCAGCCCCATGATGGATCTTGGTAGACGTGCTTCTGTCTGATCATGTCCAAAGGATCTCTGGACTTCCAGGTCAGACTGGGCCACCTGCAGGCTGTTCTCATTTACCTGGGTGCTCTCCAAAGGCCCAGAGAACCACATACTTTTAGGGCATTTTGAACTTCTTACAAAGTCACAATTAACGGGCCTTTCCTCCTAAAAGGCTATGTTAAAACCAAATTTATTCTCAGAATGATTTGGGGGGCTTTAAGGAGCCTCAGAAATGTCACATGTAGAACTGGGGCTATTGTGGAACCTTAAGAGAAAGAAAAAAAAAAGCTAAGGGTACATTTAAGTGGAAACTGTTCTAGGGGTTCTGTGGGGTCCCAGCTCTGAAGAGGGCAGAGTAAAAATTCCTTACAAAGGTTGGAGGTGATTATTTCTTCACTTGCCTTCCCACCCCCCCGTGTTCTGTGTCCTGTATTTCAGCAGGGCTTTCAAAAGCATCACTTAATAACTACCAAAATAAATTACCACCTTGGACTGTAATTTTGTCACCTCAAGCAACTTTTAAATGTGTCTTTTTAAAATATAAGTAAAAGCAATCTAAATAGAGTGTAAAGTGAATTTTTTTTCTTCTGTTGCCAGAGGCAACCATAATGAAGTCTCCTTCCAGCAAGTGACTTCAGATCTTTACACAAATGGCAATCATTTTACATGGTATCCCATGATTAGTTTTACTTAATATACTGATCTGTGGTGCATTTGCATGGTCACACTGTCCATTGTGGGGCTGTGCCACCAGCAAATGGACCTTGCCCTCAGTAAAGGGGAGTATGTTTACAGACATAGGTAACAGAAAACCCAGTTCAGACTGGCCTGCACAATGAGGGGAGGGTTTTGGCTCCTGAACCTGGAAAGTCCAGAAGTGGGGTGAGTTTCAGGACTGGTTTGATCCAGTGGCTCAGCAATGTCAACAGGATCTGGTTTCCTTTCTCTCTGCTCTGCCTTCCATGGTATCCCCATCCTCTGGGGCTGAGGGGGGGAATCATTCCACCTCGGACAAGCTCCTGTGATGGATGCAGCATGTGGTAAAGCCACTGGGGGAAGGGAGGCCCTCCTGCTTGTTCATTTTACTTTAACCACATGGTAGGATGTGGTTTAAGCAGAGTCCTGTAGGATGGGGGATGGAAGCGAGATGCTGACAATCCCCCCCACCCCTGCATTGCTGTGGGTGAACATTAGGGTAGCTTGCAGGGTTTTGTTCAACAAGGGGTCGAAAAAAAGCATGTGTGTTTGGTTAATGGAATTACTTCTTAGTAGGATTTATAACATGTTTAAGGGAATTCTCCAGGGGGTTGGCTTACATTGGGTGGGGTGTGCCTCTTTTGCCAGGTCATTGCTGGTGTGTGGGAAACTGTCCTAAACCTCTCTTCCCTTTTTGGTAGGTAATAATCCCACTCTTGGACCTTTCAAGGATTAAATGAGATGTGGTGGGTAAAACATTTAACAGTAGGTCCAGATTAGTTAGTATGGTAACCCCCAAATTATTGCTAATGTAGTTTGGAGATTAAGGGGATTTGATCTGTAGCGTTTTGTCCCCACCTGCTGAGCTGCCTGGGTTACATGTCATACAGCTCAAGTTCTGAGCCCAGTGAAATGAGTAAGATGTAATATTCATTCCTCCGCCCTTTTAGGCACAAGGCTTCCGGGTTTGTAGGGAGCCTCAGGCATTTGGAGTTCAAGATCTGTTTGCTTTATGTCCCTTTGGGATATGGAGGTGAGAGGGGGCTGCTTCCTGAGATTGGTGCACGGGCCCTGCTGTGCTTGCCAGGAAGCCCTGAGAAAAACTTGGTGTCTGAAAACTGGGAAAGTCAGGAAAAGTCAGGTAGAGTGCGGCAGTTGTCACCACCAGGGCTGGTGTCTTCCTCTTCTCTCCCTAAGGTGGCCATTTCAGCCTTACTGTGCCTTTGCAAGGAGGTCAGGGTGGCAGGTTTGCAGATCCTTTGGGCACAAACAGTCACTCAGCTATCAGCTATTGTGTTTTCTTTACTTTTAGATTTGATTTTGTTTTGTTCTTTTTTTTTTTTTTTCCTGAAATCAGTACAGATGCAGTTTAATATGGGAAGACTTGAGTGGTCTCTGGGAGGTATTGAGTACCCTGTCTCTGAAGGAATGCAGTACTTATCTGGGATAATATGGATGGGACAGGTAGCATGTGAGTTTTGTGCTTCATGGACTGACAGCAACTCCTTCCATCTATTGATTAAAAAGGGGGGCAGGTAGGTTGTAGATCAGTGGTAGAACGCTTGTCTAGCACATGTGAGACAGTGGGTCCAATCCTCAGCACATTAAATAAATAAATAATATAAAAGTATTGTTTCCATCTACAATTAAAAAATGGTTTTTTAAAAAAGCATGACTCTAATATTACATGTGAACCTGTCAAGGTTTTAATTCATTAAATAAGGGAGTTGGTAAGATTAACAATTCAAATGAGGAATCACAATGAATCATAAATCCATATGTAGTAAACGTGTTGAAATTGTCTTTTTTTTTTTCAGGAAAGGAAGCAGTTGAATCTCTTCAGGAGATATGTACATCTATTGACAATAACTCTGCAACGTAGAGTTGTAGAATAGCTCAAAGGCAATAAAGATCTAGAATCAAGATCAGATAAATGGGAAGGTGTGCCCCAAATAATGCATAGGTTTCCACTGGACGCTCAGATGTTTTTTATTTTATTCCCAATTTCCTTCTACCTCTTGTCCCTGTAGAGCTTACTTTTAAAATAGAACCAGGCAGGTCATTGAAAGGAACCAATGGCTCACAGTGATAAGAGGTACTTGAGGATTAGAACACCTAGCTGCCCCAGCCAAGGGCCAACCACTATGGGAAGCATCCTGGGGGTTCTTTCAGCATGAATGGCTGGCTCAGGCCATGTCTGCCACCTGCAAAGCTCATGTCTGCAAATCTGCTTGTTTTTTTTTTTGTTTAAACCAAAGAGGGGAAAACCCAACTTTTTATTTCTTTTTTAAATAAAAAGATGGGGTCTTGCTTTGTTGCCCAGGCTGGCCTCAAACCCTGGGCTCAAGTGATATTCCTCCATCAGCTCACGAGTAATTGGGACTACAAAGTGTGAGGCACTGTGCGCAGCTGCAAACCTGATTTACATCTGCTTCTTGACCCACTCCTACAGACACATCAATTGCTGCATCCCAAACTGCTTAACGTGTTTTCTCTTCCCCCAAGCCTATGTTGCACTCACACCGCAACCAGCCCTTGTCCTCTGTATCTCAGCCGAGCACCCCACCATTTATCAGTGACCAAATGCAGGAATATGGTATCACCTGGGCTATGGCAATGAAATTGACTCCTCTGTAGTCAGTAGGCCATCTATCCTAAAAGTTAAACACCATCTAGCCAAGTGATGCTGAATGCTTCACTCCCTGGAGTAGCTACCATGACAGATTTCAGTATCATTTACCCCCTTTTTTGTCTGAATGATTCCTGAGTCTCCCCTTGTTTGTAATGCATGCATATAGGTGCATTTGATTTTTGTTTTCTTATTTATTTAAGTATTAGGGATGGAACCCAGGGGTGCTGTACCACTGAGCTACATCCCTAGCCCTTCTTATTTTGAGACAGGGTTTTGCTGAAGTTGTTGAGGCTGGCCTCACACTTGGGGTCTTCCTGCCTCTGCCCAAGAGGCTGAGATTGCAGGTGTGTGCCGCCATGCCCAGAACAAAGTAAAGTGTGTTTACTTCTTTTCTCTCTGAATCTCAAAGAGATTCCTGAAAGATATAGGGGTGAGAGGACTTTGATCATGTAGAAGGAAACCTGTGATGGATGTTTTAAATAACAGGAGTGCGGGGGTCCCCAGCCCCTAGCTGCTGAATTCTCCCCTCTTTCCTCCCTGAAAAACAGTTCTTAGAACTGGCAAAGACATGCATTTTAATGTCACAATTTTGGTCTTTTTAAAAAATTCCTACAACCTCCCTGTGTTTGTCAGTTTCTATCACTAAAGTGAAATACTTGAGATAAGTGACTTATAAAGAGAAAATGTTTATTTTGGCTTATATTTTGGAGGGTTCCAGTTCAAGATTGATTGGTCCATTACTTTGAGCCTTTAGAGAGGTAGAGTATCACAGCAGGAGTCTTGACAGAGCAAAACTGCTCACCCCATGCCAAAAAGGAAAAGAAAGAAGATGGGGCTGGGGTCTCACAGTCCCCCTTGAGGGACATCCCCAATGACCTGAGGACCCTTCATAGGGTCTCACCTCCTTTGAAGGCCCACAGCATCTCCCAATAACACCATCTTTGGGACCAAGGACTTGGTGTATGTGGGAGTTGTGGTTCTGGGGATGGAACCCTGGGCCTCTATCCAAGTGTTCTACCACTGTATCACACTCCCAGCCCCAGGACCATGCCTTTAACACATGGACTTTTGGGGACATTCAACATTCAAACTAAGCATCCCATCCCCTTACCTTAAGGTCATACCAGGATAGGTGCCAGCCACGGCCTTGAGGAAACAATATGGGTAAATGTTCACTGTGGTCCTCAGGAGTAAGGTTGAAACTGGGGCATGTATGTCCATAAGCCTTTTTTCTTCTGTGAAAATGCAACAGTCTGATGATGACCTCAGAAAATCTACAGTGGGGCCAAGGCTGCTGGACAGGTGGGGGCTGGGAGAGAACTATTTTCTTCATTATAGTTAAGAGGAAACAGACTCAGACCAAGGAACTTGCCAGATGGCTGGGAAGTAACATAGCTGAGATTACAGCTAGGATTCCCACTTTAAGGACTGTTGTCCCTCCCTCTGATGAGACTAATTCACAGGACACAGATGTGTGTGTAGTTGTGGGCAGATGTGTGTGCTCATGTAGCACAGTGCAAAAGCCAGGAACTACAATCCTTTTCTTTAGAAAAATGGGAATAGTGCAGTCATTCCAACACTAGCTTATGAGTTAGGGCAGTGGTTCTCAAAATGCAGCTTCTATGCACCGCCCTTCCCCAAGTATATGGAGTCAGATACTCTGGGAGAGGGCCAGTGTTCTGTTTCAATCAGCTCTTAAGTGATTTTAATGCATACTAAAGTTTGAGAACTGTTTTATAAGGGAAGAATCAGAATAGAGTAACCACTGTAACAACATCCCCTAAATTTTGGTGACTTTGAAAAAGAAACGCTTGTTTCTTGTGTATGTCACATTCCATCCCTAGTGGCTTCTGGGGGTTAGGGTGGGGAATACTATGCTCCATACAGCCTCTCAGGGATCCAGTCTCTTTCAGTCTTATGGCTGTATCTCCTAGAGCCCCTTGGAGTTGTCTCTAGTCAAATGGTGGCTGGGGCAAGGGTGAGGACCAGGGAGGAGGATATTGGGAGCTAGACCCAGATGGGAGTATATTGTGTTCACATTCCATTGGCCAGAACTTGAGTCAGTTAACTACAGGAGCCTGGCAGAGATCGAGGAGTAAGAAGGGAGGTCAGACATTGGACACCAATGTTCTGTGCCCCAAGTCACAGTTTAGGGAAATAAAGATGAACTGAATTTTCTGACTTCCTAAATCCCTTTTTGTAGGAATATGGGGCCCAGATTAGGGTTGGGGCTGGTTTGCCTCATAGCCTCTGCTCAGCCTTCTCTACTCTACAGAGTGCCCTGAAAGCAGTTTGGCTTCTCAAGTTCTGGGCAGGAGAGTGGGCTGTGTCCGGACTGGAGGGCAGACAGCACACTGAACAAGAGTGGAACTTGGGAGGGCAGGAGCCATTCTTGGCTTGGTGAGACCTGCCTTTAGTTCTTCTTGTTAGCAGCTGTGTGGCCCTAGTCTTGATTTCCTCAAATATAAACTTGAGATAATAAAATGGCTAGTTTCATAATCTTGTTCTGAGAATTAAATGAGGAATTTAAAAAGGAAGCCCCTGGCACAGACCC